TGGCTCTGTGAAGGGCATCTCTAAAACAAACATACACATAGCAACCCCTCCTCCCCCCACTATCAGCCCTGTGGCTCAGAGCAGCCTGTGGTGGGTCGATACTGAGATTTCAGGGCCCCTTCCTGCAGGTGCTGCTTGCCCAATGCCACACTGGCCTTCCCTGGGCTGATACCACTTCCCATTCCAGCAGAAAGATTCACTGCAGTAACTCCACCACCACCAGAGGCAGCAGTGCAGTATGCAGGCACACCTCAGACACTGTGGATTCAGTTCCAGTCCACTGCAACAAAGTGAATATCGCAATAAATTATATTTTTAAGTGGTCTGTAGACACATTTTAATATGTTGGGTATGATGCAGAAAGATTATACTTCTGTCCTTCAAAAATAAATCTGAATTTTGAAAACTACTCCAGAGGTGATTCTTACAGTAAATCAGAGTTGAAAGGTTCTGTGCCATAACTTCATATCCAGAAGGTGAGGCATCATGACCAGTCAGGGCTGGCATGGAAGAGAAGGTGACGGAGGGAAGCTCAGGGCTTCTGGCTAAGCTCCTGATAACATACACCTTTCCTGTCCCCTACTCGGTCCCTGCAGTTTTATTCCACTTATTGGCAACCTGAAGTCAGTCTTCCTCTCTGCCCTTACAGGTTAACACTCCAGAACTAGAGGTCATGAAAGACTGAGAATAGCTTTACCTACCTAATTCCTACTTGTCCTTTAAGGGCATTACAAAAACAACCTCTTCTAGCTGAAACCTTTCCTGATCCATCCCTGCTAAGTATAAAAGTATGATATCTCCTCTCTTCGACTCTTTTTAAAAATGTATGTATATTTTTATTGATTTCAGAGAGGAAGGGAGAGGGAGAGAGAGAAAGAAACATCAATGATGAGAGAGAATCATTGATCAGCTGCCTTCTGCATGCCCCTCACTGGCATGCCCTTGACTGGAATTGAACCTGGGACCCTTCAGTCCGTAGGCTGATGCTCCATCCACTGAGCCAAGCCATCTAGGGCCTCTCTTCGACTCTTTATAACTCTTGGAATCTCGTGCAATATTTTCTCAAGTGGATGCTCTTCAAGGGTATGGACCTTGTGTAGTTCATCATCACAGCCCCGTGGCCCTTTGCCTATCGCGTCAATAGTGATTGAAGGGGACACAGAGCCCAGCTCCTTAGATGGGTTTTATTGATGCACCAGGATAGGTGGGGTGGTGGACAGAGGGCAGAGAGAAAAGCAATTCTGAAAACTCCATAAGCTGAAGAACATTCGGTAAAAGGGATGATTTGTTCTGTGTCTTCCTGCTGCTGAGATGGTCTGCACAGCAGAGCAGGTGAGAGAGAAGAGTGTAGGAGAGAAAGCACCTTGCAGAAATGGCCTCACTGAGAAAGACCTAAGAGAGAGGCACCATGATTAAGATCTGATGTCCAGGGACATGCCAGCCGGACTGGCCAGGGAAGCATAAGCCAATGCCTCTCCGGCTGTCTTCTTCTGGCACTGGGCACTGGGATCCAGGGCTGGGACGCTCATGGCTTGTTGCTTGTCAAGTATGAATACAGCCCCCTGGCTGTGAGCTCTCGCTTCCCTTCTGGCTGGGCGCTGTGCAGGCTGCCCTGGTCCTGCCTTCCAATCACTGTGTCCCTTGTCTGGTCATCAACCCACTCCTCCTTGACCAGGGGCTCTCTTTCATCCTGCCCTCCTGTCCCACTGCTCCCTGGGTGAGTGCTGCTGCCGTCCTGTGTGCCTGTTGGGGTGCTGATCCCAGCCTGGGCTTGACCTCCTGGCATTGTCTCTTCTGCCTCACAGCTGCCTGACTGTGTCTGGGTCTGTCCCTGTCCTCTAGCCCCTGTCTGGCTCCTGTCCTGCTGGGTGGTCTGGGTGTGTGACCCTGTCTGTGTCTGAACGTGCCCTCCCGTGGCTACCTGGCTCATCTGGCTCCTGTCTTGACTGTGGGTCTCAGTCCCTATGGTCTGGCCATAGGTGGACTCTTGAGATTGGGTGCTGGTGCTTCCTGTCTGATGGCCCCTGCCCTGCTGGGTGTGTGACCCTGTCTGTGTCTGAACGTGTCCTCCCGTGGCTACCTGGCTCATCTGGCTCCTGTCTTGAGTGTGGGTCTCAGTTCCTCTGGTCTGGCCATGGGTGGACTCCCGTGACTGGGTGCTAGTGCTTCCTGTCTGGTGGCTCCTGCCCTGCTGGGTGTGTGACCCTGTCTGTGTCTGAACGTGCCCTCCTGTGGCTACCTGGCTCATCTGGCTCCTGTCTTGAGTGTGGGTCTCAGTTCCTCTGGTCTGGCCATGGGTGGACTCCCATGGCTGGGTGCTAGTGCTGCCTGCCTGGTGGCTCCTGTCCTGCTGTACGGTCTGGGTGTGTGACCCTGTAGGTATCTGATCGTGTCCTCTAGTGGCTACCTGGCTCATCTGGCTCCTGTCCCACTCCGTGGTTTGGGTGGCACCTGTCTGGGTCTGAGTTACGGTGCCAGTAACAGTCCCATGTGTCTGGTGGGCTCTGTTCTGTTCTCTAGTCTGTGACTGTCTCTCCGACACCCACTCACTGGTCTGATGACTCTGGTCTTCTCCCACACTCTGGTTTGGCTCCACGTGCCCCCTCGCTTGTGTCTGCTGGCTCTCTCTCTTCTGTCTCTGGGATGCGTGCTGCCCCTCCCAGTGACTGACCTGAGAAGAGCTGATGTCTGGCCCCTGGGTGTGTGCCCCAGCCCCGTCTTGCCCTCTGGAAGCCTGCCTGCCCTGGCCACCACTGCTCCCCTCATGACGCTGTCCTTTCCCACCGCCTCCCACTTCTGTGACACTTCTCTGTCCTTCTCCCAGCTCTGCCGAGGCCCCACGGGGGAAGCTTCCAGACTCTTGAGGTCCACAAGCTCCCTCAGGACCCTCACTCAACGTCTTAAAACAGGCCTGTGCGACTTTAAACACCAAGACCAGGAATTCCTTGAATTCTACGGTCCCTGTGTGGTCTTCATCCAGCAGGCGCAGGACCTGATCCACGGTGGCCGGGTCGTGGGGTTTCTGGGGAGAAGATCAGGCAAAGTCAGCAGCCCTCCCCACTCAGCTGCCAGGACCCCACCCCCGAACCTACAGCTCACCTGCTCTGCCCCGAGCCCTTCCCATAGGGTTATAGCAGCATGAACACAAAATCACTTTCCTTTTTCAGTCCTGTCTCGCTCCCTCGTGGGTAGGAAACACCTTTTATTTTGTATCCTCTGTGTCTGGCATAATTTCTGGCCCACGGGGGAAGTGAATGACGATTTCATGAAGAATGAATAAATGAATGCATGTGGAGTGATTCTCTGGGCTGTCCTCGGGCCCTGGGCCCCGGCACTGAGGCCACATTCTCACCAAGAGAAACAGGGTGGGAACCTGGCTCCGGGGGGAATTCTGTGAGATCCTTATTGAGGCTCAGGTGTTTCCCCAACTTAGGGGGTTGGGTGTCCCCAGGCACCACAGATTGCCCTGAGCAGGTGGACGCAGCACCCTGATACACCCACACATCCCTGTCCCTAAGACCTTAACTATCCCAGTGCTTTAGCTGTGAACCGAAGGCAGGAAGAGGCAGGGAGGTGCACCTGGGTCTGGTTTGCTCTCCCAAACCTCATTGCTGATGTGAGCACTCAGCTAATGTTTTTGAGCAAATGCTGTGTACAAGGCATGGAGCTGAGCTTCTCATCAATGCTTATTAATGGATGACTAAATCTCTGCAAGACAGAGTAGATGATCACCATAGCAGATTTAAGAAGCAGCAGAAGTAGCAATTCTTTTTATTTCTAGAATATTCCAAGGTTGTGTTTCTCCCTGAGCTATCCCATTAGAGTCCTTTCACCTTGTCTTCCAATTTGAATCAATCGAAGTCAAGGTATTTTCTCTAAGGACCTGGTCTGTCAACTCCAGTGGCTGTCCCTTGTTCCCTCCTGTTTCTCTGCCTGCACAGCCTCCAGTAGGACCTGTGGGCTTGGATCTAGAGCAGCCGTGGGCAAACTACGGCCCGCGGGCTGGATGCGGCCCATTTGAAATGAATAAAACTAAAAAAAAAAAAGACTGTACCCTTTTATGTAATGATGTTTACTTTGAATTTATATTAGTTCACATAAACACTCCATCCATGCTTTTGTTCCGGCCCTCCGGTCCAGTTTAAGAACCCATTGTGGCCCTCGAGTCAAAAAGTTTGCCCACCCCTGATCTAGAGGCTGCCTCCTTGGGTTCCTGGGGCCAAGGGTCTGGTCTGCAGACAAACCATCTTCACTCTCCCCTGAGCCCCTCCCCATCTGGCTGGGCCCATCATACCACGATGACGTCAGCAAACTCCTGCTCCAGGAGCCTTTTCAGTTCCCCCCGACTGAGCACCATGCAGTTGCCCTCTGTCCTGGCGTAGCGTTGGAAGGCGTAGATGATCCCATTGATGTTTTGCAGTAATTGAGGCATCTTGGTAGTCAAGCTGGAGAAAGAAGAAAAGCCCCGGGGGCTCCGGAATCAACCCCAGTGGTTTCCCTGGGAGCACTCCTGCTTCTAAGCCCTTTCCCTGTGTTTGGGCTCTGCTTCTGGTCTTGGTTGTCTTCCTTTCCTTCATAACGTATTTATGGAGGGGACGCAGGGGCACATGGTGGTTAGAGGCAGGCTCCTGGGTCAGTTGCCACCTACTCAGCAGGGGAGCTAGGGCAGGTTGCTTTGCCTATAGTGCCTTAGTTTACTCACCATGAAATGAAGGCAATACTAGTATTTACTTTAGAGGATTAGTTTGCAGATTAAGAGAGATGATTCATTTAAAGCACTTGATAGATGCTGGTTTATTCAAAATGTTACCTATTAAATATCATTATACACATATGTTTGCATACGTCTCTATATAGTCTACTGCTCACTAAGTACTTTCATATGCATTCTCTCTCTCTCTCTCTCTCTCTCTCTCTCTCTCTCTCTCCCCCCCCCCTCCCTCCCTCTCTCCCTCTCTCCTCTCTCTTTACATCATCCTTATTATCTCTACCTTTTATAGGTGAGGGAGCAGACAGCGAAGTTGATTTGCCCGAGGCCACACCGCTTGTAAGAAATCCTAGAACCCATGTCTCCTGAACTCAAATTCAATGACCTTCGAGACTCTGCCCTCTGGACAGCTTATGCAGCCCGTCTCTGCCTGTCACAGGCTGCAAGAGTCCTGCTGGGAACACCAACCGGCAGTACTAGTAAGTACATATGTGAGTCAATTCCTGCCTCAGGTAGGGGCCAGGCAGGAACCTGAGGGCCCCACTCTACCCTTCTTTACTGCCCTTCAGGAAGGTGTTCAGCAAGAGGCTGGCCATCACCTGTGGGGACCGCGGAGGAGGGGTGCTCTGCCTGGTTGGAAGTCTGCCTGTTCTGAGAGTCCTGATTTCTCTGGATGTGAGCTCTGTCCTCCGCGATGGGACCTGTCAGCCTGCTCAGAGGTATGTGGCTCCTTCAAGCCCATAACCCTGGTGGCCTGTGAGGAAAGGTTCCCAACTGAAGGGAGATATTTTATTCTCATCCGCCAGGGGGATGGGCTCAGGTGGAAGTTGGGTTCTGGATGTGGCTGGATGGGCAAGAGGCAAAGAGACCTAGAGGTGCAGAAGCAGAAGCCTCAGGGAGGCCCCAGGGAGGAGATGGTGCTGAGAGGCAGGGTTCAGATGCAGGGGGAGATGGACTGGTGAGGGAGGGGTGCTGTGGAGATGGAAAGGACGGGGTACAGGAAGAGGAGGGCCTGACAAAAGAAGGGAGGGAAAAAGGAAGGAGACCCAGTGGCTCTTCAGGAAGTGCCCTTTCTACCATCTGGCAGCCAAAAATTCAGACTGTTTTCTCATGTACATCACAGCACAAAACTCAGAACATTGCACCTCTACAGAGACAAGAACAGATCCTGCTTTTTGTTTTTTATTTTGTTTTTCACCCTATGGCCGACCTCAACCACTGACTATAAGCAGAAAAAATATTGAGATGGCCTTTTGGTTACACTTCAGATCCCTTAGAATAAATCCACAAACTCATCTTGCCTAGGTATTACCCTGGGGTCAGAGCCCCTTGCTCCCTGAGAAGGTTCAACCCCATTGTCTGGGTTGGCAGAAGTACCATAACCTGATTCTGGTCTCACACACCCTGAGCATCGCCAAGAAGCTTCCAGAACTTTAAGAATAAGAGACCTCCCTGGTTGGTGTGGCTCAGTGGTTAAGCATTGATCTATGAACCAGGAGGTCATGGCTCTCACACTCGATCTTCAGTAGGGGGCGTGCAGAAGGCAGCCAATCAATGATTGTCTCTCATCATTGACGTTTCTGTCTCTCCCTCTCCCTTCCTCTCTGAAATCAGTAAAAATAGATATTGAAAAAATAAAAGAATAAGAGACCTGGGCTGATCCAGGAAGGCATGTGGGTGGTCTTGTTGCTGCTGCCAACACAGTGTCCCACTGAGAGGCACTGCTGCCCGGCCAGTGCGGGGAGGAAAGTGCCCTTTCCCCCGTGCACTGGTTTGCCCGAGGCCCAGTCAGAGCGGACACTTCCCGCCCACAGCCCTGGTTTTATGAGGTCAGATGACCAAGAACTGAGAGTGAGAAAGAGGTTCCTGAGGAGGGCACTTACCTAATGCACAGGCAGGGTGAGGCAAGTGGCTGCTGAGTGGTGTGTGCAGTGCCAGGTCAGCGGCAGGAGCCTTTTATAGGGGATTTAATTGAGTTAGCGCGAGGGTTTGGACAAGATGCCCCACCCCATTGAAAGGCTTGATTCACCCAAGGCTCAGCCAAGCCCCACCTTTCTCCCGTTTTACCTGCTGACACGTGGCTGTGTTGGCCTAAGGATCTGACCCCTTCTACCACGTGTGGAGCCCTCTCTCAGCCCTCATCTCTCCTGGGTCTTCTTCTCATGACAGGGAGGCTCCTGTCCCATGTGATGGGCTCAGCACGGGTGGGTCCTGGGGAACATTCTTGGTCTCTGTGTCACTGCAGAGTCATGGGGATTTTATTTTTTATACAAACATTCAAGAACATATTGATCTGTTGAGGATTATCCTTTTCAAAGTGGTGGCTTTGGGAAGCTATACGTGTTTTTTTCTGGTGATGTCATTATTTAGAGCATTCTTGGAATTCTTGTTTTGGAATTGCTTTTTATACCCAGTTTATGAGACATGCAAGGAGTCCAATCTCATTTCTCTATAGTTGGGTCTCATATTTGATTAAAACAAAGAAGGTTAATACCTTCTACCTATCATCCTGTAGGTAGATAGCTTTTTATAGGATGGAGAAGAAGCTTAAGATGATTCTGTGCTTTTCTTCATTGCAAAGACAGGAAATTGAATTGGCCGACTAACTAGTATATATTTGTGGAGATCCTGCTTCATTTCAGACATAGGGCTAAGACCAGAGTTGAACAAGAGGAGAAATTTCCCTTTCTTCCTTTCTTTCCTTCCTTCCTTCTTCCCTCCCTCCCTCCCTCCCTCCCTCCCTCCCTCACTCACTCACTCATTCTCTCCTCCACTCTCTCCCTTTCTTCTTCTTCTCCTCTTCCTCTTTCTCATTCTCTCTCTCTCTCTCTCTCAGATTTCTGGGGTTAGGAGAAAACTCTTCTAAAAATATTTTTATTGATTTTTTTTTTTTTTTTTTGCGAGAGAGGAAGGGAGAGGGATACACAGAGAGAAGCATCGATGTGAGAGCAGAACGCTGATTGGCTGCCTCTTGCACGCCCCCCCGCCCCCCCCCCCCCCCCGGCCCCACTATAGATCAAGCCTGAAACCCGGGCATGTGCCCTGATCAGGAATCGAACCGGCAACCTTTTGTTGCACAGGATGACACCCAACCAACTAAGCCACACCAGCCAGGGCTCAAAGGAGTAATTTCAAATCTGACAGAGAAAGTCCCCGAGAGGGTAACAGTAATAGTAAGTATCATCTGACTGGATTTGACTTTCAGTACCATCTCATTTTGTTAGATGCTAATGACAGTCCTGAGAGGTGGGTAGTATGGCTGAGCCCTGTAAGTGAGGACACTGAGAAATCCTCAGAGAAGTGGCCACTCAGTGGAGAAGGGATGGAGCTGGACCATCCAGCTGTGAGTGATATGCTTAGAACACCCAGAAAGGTTCAGAAACTAAGGGAAAGTAAGTTAGGGAATTAACAAGCCAGATGCTTTGACTGTGAGGTAGGTATCATTACATCCAATTTACAGTTGAAGAAACTGAGGTACAGAGATGTTAAGTAAACCACCCAAGGCCACATAATGAGAAAAGTGAAAGACCTGGATTTGAACTTAGGTCTGCCTGCCTCCGAAGCCTGTGTGTTTCCATGTGCCCAGGGCAGATCTGCGCCTGGGGTTGGGGCTGTGAGTAGCTGTGGGTCCACAGAAGCAGAGAGAGGTAAATGAGGTGTCTGTGTGTGTAGGGTAGAGGGAGGTTCACCAGAGAGGGTAGTTCGGGCTAAGGGAGATGAGGAGGTAGGAGATTGGGACTGGCAGTCTGAGTGTACATTTGTGTGTTTGTAAAGTTCATAATGAGTTGTTACAAACGAGTGACTTTACTCTGTACAGACAGAGGCAGGGACTCTATCAGAGCTCTTATCCCCTGCTCACTCTGCTTTGGAGAAAACAGAAATATCTCAAAGCAACAAACTCATTTTTGCCTTTGATTTCTTCTTACACACTTGCTGAGAAATTCACCACTGACCTCTACTTGGTTCATTTCTGCCTATGTCCAAGAGCCGGTATGTGCTACTCGTGGTGAGCTAAAGAATATGATTCTGCTTTTAGGAACTCTGTCTCATCTGGAGAACAAGACATGCGCACCAAATAATTTTCTAACAATGGAAGATAGTTTTTGTAAAATGTTAATTAAAATTGGCTGCTCACCAGACACCTTCACCTCCACCCAGGAACAGAGAATGGTGACGCGCGACAGGGGACAGGCATGGCTCTTAGAGAGACAAAGAACAGCGGACAGTTCCAGGCCTCCTAATGTTCTCTGTGCCCAACTGGAGCTTCTTCTCTCTGACCTACCCTACCTGGACCCTGGTCGGAGCATCCCGGGAGCCCAGATGCTCAAGTTCAGCCCTGGAAATGCCAGGAAGGATTAGGCAGATACCAGAGCCATCCCTGTTGACAGTCTCCAGTGACTTAGTGAGTTTCTGTTAGCCATTCTGAACCTAATCCCCAACTGGACAGGTTGCATTGGCCCTGCTGTTTCTCTGAGTCCCCATCCATGCAGGGAGCATGTGACTAACATGATGATTAGCCTCCTTGGTTTGGCCAGGAAAGCTGCCATTTGAAAGGGAGTGCGAATTTCCCAGAACTAAGTGTCCAGCTCCTAGAGCAAGCAAACTGGGAGAATCTTCTCATAGGGAGGAAAAAGGAACATCATGGCAAGAACAGTGGGAGGAGGGGTTCTCCCTTTTCCTGCTTCACCAGTGTTCCTGCTCAGAACTCCACAGAGTTTTGGTGGTAGCAAAGTTTTGTTGGCTTAAATGTAAGGGGAATGTACATTTCCCGCCAAGCCCTACTACTACCATCATCTCTGGTCAAGAGTATAGACCTGTCATCCCCACAGAACTGTAGCTTACGCTGCCTTTCGCCTCCTGCGGGCCCTTGTTCCAGCCTGAATGCTTTCCTCTCCTCCTCCTCCTCCATCCAATCAGGACAACTCCAACACCACCGGTTCCATAACATATTTTCAGATGATCCCAACAGATGAGATCTCTCTTTAGCATCTTAGCTTGCCCTCGAGAGTCTTTTGATGGTGCATCTTTTACAGCATTTATTTTACTCTGTCATCCTTATCATTGCTTGTCTATCTGCATAATCCTCCTTTCTGGATTTGCCCCTCTTTGAGACAAGGCTGGTTTGTAGTAAGTGTGTGATGAGTTGATGTGGAAGCCCTGCCCATTTTTCTGGAGGACACAGCTTCCCTCTAAAATCATGAGGGCTGGCCCCCTATTCCATCCACTAGAGCTACTGGGCTTTATCCTTGTGCTCCTGGGGCTAGAGTGGGATAGCTCAGTATCCGAGGCTAAGGGGGTTCCCAGGACCCAATGGGGAAAAGCTCCATTGCAGCACTAGTCAGGGCAAACTGGATTTGTGCTGGTTTCCCTACAAACCCTACAAACCTGTCTGTTCTGGTCTCTACTAGGGTTGGTCTGCTTTGAACTATTTCCTCCTTCATTGATCAAAGCACCTATCCCTCCCAGAGAAAAGCCAGGATTAAGAGAGGATGACAGGGTGTTCTGAGCACACTGAAAGAAAATGGAACACCGAGGACGTGCCAAGGGGAAAGCCAGTGAGTAGGGAGTTACTAGTGGGCTTGGAATTCAGTCCTCATTTAAAGGGCAGAACATGAGGTGCAGGTGCAGTGTGCTGTGCGCACCAAGGTCATCCAGGGGCCACGGGCTGTTGGTAAATGTGCGCACTCACTGTCTTCAGACACCTTGACGTTAGGAAGAC